GGGACCGAGCAACGGGAGCTCACCCCGTCGCGGGGATTCGAACCGCAACCTTCTGATCGGCAAGTCCTAGGCTCTGTGGTTTAACACACGGCACCACCCGCGTCCCAGAGAAAGGGTTGACTAATTGTAAAATGACTAACCAATGGGAACCCAAGGGCCAGAGTTAACTGTGTATAAGGTTTAAGCACAGAGAGAATTTGTTAAGAGGAGTTAGAGTGGTTGAGAAGACAGTCTGGAGTTAGACAAGAGAGGGAAGATAAGTCTGTGGGTTGGGCTAGTCTGGTGTGAGAGAGAGAGAGAATCTGTTAAGAGGAGTCAGTCAAACAGTTGAGATAATCAGTCAGAAGGTATTAGGAAGGTATAGGTCGGTAAAGAAACTAAAGTTAAGATACTGACAGGAATATTATCTGAAAAATCATAAACTTGTCAATGTTTGTAAAATAAACTTGGTTTTTTTTTGGTTCACTTTTAACAACTGACTGGACTCAGTGTTTTACCAGAGAGTAATGGGTTGATGGCAGCGGGGAAGCGATCAGAGTGGTTGCACAGGGATCAACAGACCGTTAAACATCCGGGGACCCTGTGTGATCGCCACAGTGGGCTGGCCCTGAATTAAGATCTACATTAGATCTGCTGCCCCTATGGAACCTGCTGCCTGAGGTGATTCCCTGACCTTGCCTCATGGGTGGGCCGGCCCTCAAAGCTACCCTCAGAGTCTAATTTGTAGGACAACTGGAAGTGGCAATGAGAATGGGAAGGCACTGCTAAAGAGGGAGAAGGGAGAAGGGAGAAGGGAGAAGGGAGAAGGGGGGAGGAGGAGGAAGAGGAGGAGGAGGAGGAGGAGGAGGAGAAGAAGAAGAAGAAGAAGAAGAAGAAGAAGAAGAAGAAGAAGAAAACTAACTAGAAAATAACAATGATAGTAATTATCATCATCACAAGTGTCATTCTTGGGAGCATGTTCCTTGCTCTTGACCTCCCAACCTTATGCACATCTCTTTCTTTCTTTCTTTCTTTCTTTCTTTCTTTCTTTCTTTCATCGCCATCATATCCCACCTTTTTCTCTACGGAGCTCAACGATTCTCCCCCTCCTCATTTAATCCCCCACAACAACCCTGTGAGGTAGCTTAGGCTGAGAGGCAAATGAGCGGCTCAGTCACCCAGGATGCTTCATGGCTGAGTGGAGATTTGAACCCTGGTCTCCCAGGTCTTAGCCCAACGCTCTAAACAATACATCACACGGACTCTCACTTCAAAGCTAGGTTACTGTAATATAGTTCACAAGGGGCTGCCTTTGGTCAGTCCAGAGGCTTCAGCTGGCCCAGAATGAGGCTGCTGATGGGAGTTCAGATAATATCACACGGACCCTCTCTTGGCTCCCCTAATTGCTGCTTTGCTTCCAGGCTCAATTAAAAGTGCTGGATTTGACTTTTTAAAGCCCTGCATCCCCAGCCAACCCACTACAAACCAGTCTAGGACCTTTCTTCCACACCTCCTTCAGATGCTGCTGCCAGCTGAGCTAAGGTGGGCTTACATGCAGGGGTTTGGAGCATGGGTAGGCAAACTAAGGCCCGGGGGCCGGATCTGGCCCATTCGCCTTCTCAAACCGGCCCACTGACGGTCTGGGAATCAGCGTATTTTTACATGAGTAGAATGTGTCCTTTTATTTAAAATGCATCTCTGGGTTATTTGTGGGGCCTGCCTGGTGTTTTTACATGAGCAGAATGTGTCCTCTTATTTAAAATGCATCTCTGGGCTATTTGTGGGGCATAGGAATGTGTTCATTTTCTCTCTCTTCAAAATATAGTCCGGCCCCCCCACAAGGTTGGAGGGACAGTGGACTGGCCCCCTGCTGAAAAAGTTTGCTGACCCCTGGTTGGAGCGTCCAGGTTTTGGCAAAGGCTCCTAGGGGAAGTAAGCCCAGCCTCTTCATTGCTTACTTTTAGCGAAGACAATTGTATTTAGTCACACTTTTTAAGCCTCTTGCTTTATAATGCTAATGCTTCTCACTCTGTATACCTGAAGGAGCATCTCCACCCCCATCGTTCAGCCTGGACACTGAGATCGAGCACCGAGGGTCTTCTGATGGTTCCCTCACTGCGAGAATTGAAGCTACAGGGAACCAGGCGGAGGGCACTTTTGGTAGTGGCGCCCACCCTGTGGAATGCCCTCCCATCAGATGTCTAGGTAAAGGGACCCCTGACTATTAGGTCCAGTTGTGGCCGACTCTGGGGTTGTGGCGCTCATCTCGCTTTATTGGCCTAGGGAGCCGGCATACAGCTTCTGGGTCATGTGGCCAGCATGACTAAGCTGCTTCTGGAGAACCAGAGCAGCGCACGGAAACGCCGTTTACTTTCCCGCCGGAGTGGTACCTACTTATCTACTTGCGCTTTGACGTGCTTTCGAACTGCTAGGTTGGCGGGAGCAGGGACCGAGCAACGGGCGCTAACCCCTGAGTAATTATATAACATTTAGAAAACATCTGAAGGCAACCCTTTTTAAGGTTTGATGTTTTACTATGTTTTTATGTATGCTGGAAGTCACTCAGAGTGGCTTGAAGAACCCAGCCAAACGGGCAGGGTACAAATAAATTATTATTATTATGGGCCAACAGCATGGTTTAGCAAATAAAAAAAAGGAGAGAGGGTTTTGGGGCAGCCCCTCTGTGGTTTGCTGGTGTAGCAGGTGTCGATTCCTCACACCTGAAAGTCAACAGCACTTAGGTGACCAGATGCAAAGCTCACCACGCCTTGAATGCTTCTACAGAACCAGCATTCATTTCATGATCCATTAACCCCATTTGTTTACCACCCAGCCGTCTAATGCGTGTGATAAAAGCCCATAAAAGGAACACGAAGCAAGCAGAGGAGCTCTTGGCAGGTGTCAGGCGGTGGTGGTGAGAGAAGCTGCAGCAGTGAAAACTCCCCCCTCCTTTTGCACTCCATTTGAACATTCAGCCATCGGACCCTCTGCACCGGGTCCTCTTATTCAGCACTCAGAACCCCGCTCTCAATTTCACAGGTCGAAGAAACCTACGGTGTGCTTCCATTGAGATGCCTGTGTGTGTTTACGTTCCTGCCACTCCGCCGTGTCCCATGTGACCTTGCCCAATTCATTCCGAACAGCCTTTATCTAACACACTCGAAGCTGTTATACAATATCAATAACGCAGCTCTGTTTGCCTTGCCTTGCACCAGCAGAGCTCACAGACGTCTGAATTCATCAGCCCCTAACAGCTGCTGTATATCGGGGAAGGAATTGTGCAGACTGCTCCTTAAGTGCCATTTCCCTCTTCTTCTTTTTTTTGAAAAGTAGCAAAATATCAGTTCCGGCCAGTTCCACCATCTATGCTAGAAAACACACACACACGCACACACACACGCACACACACACACACGTACAGCTCTCGCTCTTTTTCCTTCTGCCTCCACTCATCAACAAAACTGCTTCTGCTCACAGCTGATAGCAGGGGATGGTCATGATAGAGGTAGCTGGTTTTGCTGACTTACCCTTTCTCGCTTCTCTTTCCCACCCCAGCAGTGCCAGCAGTCACAGTGAGGCAGCTGGCTGAGAAACAGGACCCCCTCTTCCTCTGCTCTCCAAAATCCAGTCCGATCCTGCGGCGCTTGCTTGCTTGCTTGCAAGTTCTTCCTCTCCCCCCCACCATCGTATTGGGTACATCCGCGGACGAGGAAGATGCTCTCCCCTCGCAGCCTTCCCGCTCCCCAACCCCCCTCCCTGATGGATGAGATCAGCACATATTAAGATAAAAAGCAAAATTGCTTGCTTAATGTATGCGCAATGCTTGATGACCCCTAAGGTGACGACGGCATTCAAAGCCCGGTTCTGTCCTGCGACTCAATATTTGCCGATGTCCCTTGTTAAAGTAGGCTAAAAATGAATGTTGCAGGTCTCTCCTTGGGGGGCGGTGGTCCTCAGGCGTGTATGAAAGGGTGCGTAGCTAATCTGAGTAATGTCTAGTGCCATTAGAACTGACTGGCTTTCTGGCATTAAACTCAACTGGAGGCAGATTGCATTAACGTCTAGAAGATCGGGGTGTCCGAAAGGTAACAGGACAGACAAGGGGATGGATACGGCCCAAGCATTTCCCTGCCGATGAGTGAGACATCAGTGGCATCCGAGTTATGTGCCCCCAACTCAGCTGTGGCTCTAGCTGCAACATGCTCTCACTGCTGGTGTTTGAAGCTAAGTATATATTGATGCTTTTGAATTCTGGTGCTGGAGGAGACTCTTGAGAGTCCCATGGACTGCAAGACAATCAAACCTATCCATTCTGAAGGAAATCAGCCCTGAGTGCTCACTGGAAGGACAGATCGTGAAGCTGAGGCTCCAATACTTTGGCCACCTCATGAGAAGAGAAGACTTCCTGGAAAAGACCCTGATGTTGGGAAAGATGGAGGGCACAAGGAGAAGGGGACGACAGAGGGCGAGATGGTTGGACAGTGTTCTCGAAGCTACCAACATGAGTTTGACGAAACTGCGGGAGGCAGTGGAAGACAGGAGTGCCTGGCATGCTCAGGTCCATGGGGACACGAAGAGTCGGACACGACTAAACGACCAAACAACAACAACAAAATATATGACACCAGCCACAGCCCATATGCAACCTGGAGTTTCTTCAGCAATACGGTTGTTTGATGCATTCCCGGTCAAACCAGCCACCATCCCTTTAGGAAAAGTAAGCTGAGGTGCGTACATCTGAAACAGCCATTGCACATGTGCAGATGAACAGGAGTTTGGGGGATTTCAGCTCCTGGAAAACTAATCAGGTAACAGACCTCTTAACCAGGTAAGAGCCCTCCTAGACGTTGCAGGATTTAGGGTGTTCGGGATCTTTTTTTGCATGTGAATCATGTGCTCTACCCCCGAACCACAGCCCTGCCCTAATGTAACTCCATTTTCATAGAAGCATAGAATTGCAGAGTTGGAAGGGACCAGGAGGGTGATCTAGTCGCCCAACCCCCTGCAATGCCATTATCTTTTGCCCAACATGGGGCTCGAACCCTTAACTTGGAGATCAAGAGTCTCCTTTTCTACCAACTGAGTTATCCTTTCCCCTTCCACTATGCTGCCCTGATATCCTTGCAGTCTGCACAGTCAGGAGTTGACTGAAGGGAGCTTCCCTTGCCAGTCCATGGTCAGGGTTGCTCTGGATAACAATACTTTCTGTGTCGCAGCTGTGCCTTCCCAAGCAGAACATGAGCAAAATACTCCCTGGGCATGTTGAAACACGACCAAGCTGCAATTCCCGCATCTGCGAGCAGGGAGAATGGGTTGGCTGCACTTGCCAATGCCCAGGGACAGAGCAGCACTCTCTCTGCAGCGCTCTGACTGATTTCTCAACAACCCGGCTTGAAGAACAAGGAACCTGGATCCCCGAAGCCTGGTTTAAATTGAGTTTGGGGATCGATGACGCCAGCGCTAGCTTGTGTATGAATGAGCTATTGTCGATGTACTGAAAAAGCAAAACCTAAAATAGAAAATGCATTTAACGAGCTACGTGCTATCAAATCCTAACCCCACAGGAAAGCCTTCTCCATCAATTGTTAATTGTGCAAATGAACCGGGACAGGTCCCCTTTGTAAAAACGAAACAAACAAGGATATATATATACACACAGACTGTGTGTGTGTGTGTGTGAACCTATGTGTGTGTGTGTCTCTCTGTGTGTCTGTCTGTCTATCTATATCTATCTATCTATCTATCTATCTATCTATCTATCTATCTATCATCTCTCTCTCTCTCTCTCTCTCTCTCTCTCTCTCTCTCTCTCTCTCATCTATCTATCTATCATCTATCTATCATCTATCTATCTATCTATCTATCTATCTATCTATCTATCTATATCTATCTCTATCATCTATCTATCTCTATCTATCTCTATCTATCTATCTATCTATCTATCTAAAGACACGGAGTCCTTCTGCAAAGTGGCATAGCTATGTTGCAAAGCTAAACATGCCAGTGGTGGGAGGGGCCAAAGGCAAAAGTAGGCGGAGCCACCAATATGAACTTTGCCTTTTGTACAGTAGGCTTTCCCCACCATCATTGCATGGCTCTCCACCCTCTTCTCAAGCAAGTCAAAGCCATTATCAGAATTCAAGGGCACATACCAGGCAGGCAAAAACCACTCAAGCACGGCTGGTGTCATGATCCTTGCAACACAGCTGGGTTCGGGTTTGGCCTGGCAGGCCCGGGTGAAGGAGAAAATAGAAACAGAGAGCTGCTGGTGGTAAACAGTGGGAACCAGGGTTGGAGGAGTGAGGGTCTCCCCATAGTGCCTCGACCTCAGATGCTTTGTTAGTGGGAGCAAGGATATCAGCTCTTTTCCCTGGAGCAGAGAGCCTCAGTGGAGGCTGAGGAGGGCTGCGGACAGCTGACAGCAGACTGACCAGAAGCCTAAACAGGAAAGTGCAATAGAGCCAGGCCTCTGTGGATGGAAATGTGTTTGCAGTCCTGACATACCCACAAGAACAAGCAAGTTTTGCGAGTGAGCCGGCCATGCCTTGTCCCCAAAATCTTGGTGGGCGAGGCGTGGAAACTTGTTGGGATATCTTCATTCTCTCTTTTTTTAAAAAAAATATTTTTATTGGAAATTTTATTTACAACATAACATAACTCCCCACCCCCCAATACAGAAATCTACCCTCATTAAACGTGAACATAATATACAATGAGCATAACATACAACAATACAAACAACCAAATAAAAGACTTCCTTTATCCTTTATCTGGCCTCCTTATTTACTTCTTATAAGCTGTTTCCTTTATGAATAATTATTAAGATTTTTCTAATTATAACTTAAGTATCCACAAAGTCTCCTGCAGACATTAATCGAAACAAGTCCAGGTATGTATTTCAGGGCACTGTTTTGTGAAGTATTCTCTGCATTTCCCCCATGCTTTTTGAAACTCTTGTCTAGTGTGTTCTCTAATTGCCTCTGTTAATCTAGCCAGTTCAATATACTCTAACAGTTTGTCTTGCCATTCCTTTTTTGTTGGCACAGTTTCTTTTTCCCCAGTTTTTAGCAATTAGGATCCTTGCCGCTCCTGTGGCATAGAGGAATATTTTCTGATCTTCTCTTGCTATACCTGGGACCGTTATCCCTAGCAGAAAAGCTTCTGTATTTTTTATAAAGTTAAACATTTTTTTAAGCTCGTCATATACTATGTTCCAGAAGCTTTTGATTGGGATGTGTTCATTCTGAACTCCTTGCCTGCTCCCTGAATTCTTGAATCACAGCTCCTGAACTCTATGTCTGCTGCTGAGCCTGTACTAAAGGTAAAGGGACCCCTGACCATTAGGTCTAGTCGTGACCAACTCTGGGGTTGCGGTGCTCATCTCGCTTTATTAGCCGAGGGAGCCAGTGTACAGCTTCCGGGTCATGTGGCCAGCATGACTAAGCTGCTTCTGGCGAACCAAAGCAGTGCACGGAAACGCCGTTTACCTTCCCACTGGAGCGGTACCTATTTATCTACTTGCACTGGTGTGCTTTCGAACTGCAAGGTTGGCAGGAGCAGGGACCAAGCAACAGGAGCCCACCCCGTTGCGGGGATTTGAACCGCCAACCTTCTGATCAGCAAGTCCTAGGCTCTGAGGTTTAACCTACAGCACCACCCGCGTCCCTGAGCCTGTACTACTACTTGTCTAAATACAGATCTCTTGCTTACATGTATGAGCCTTTGTCTTGGGACAGTTAGTAAGGAATGTGGCTCAATGTGTGTGTAGCTTGCAGAGAGTCCTCAAAGCCAGACAGAGAAACTTGGAGAGCTGCCATTGGCCCATGGGTCCCTCTTTCCCAATTTCATAGAATGATCGAATTATAGAGTTGGAAGGGATCCCAAGGATAATCTAGTCCAGCCCCCTGAAATGCAGGAATTCATTTATTTACTTACTGCATTTACATCCTACCTTTCCTCCAAGGGACTTAAGGTGTGGCAATCACGATTCTTTTCCTACCTGTTTTATTCTCACAACAACCCTGTGAGGTGGGTTAGGCTGAGAGGCTGTGACTGGCCCATGGTCACCCAGTGAATTTCGTGGCTGAGCTGGGATTTGAACCCTGGTCTCCCAGGTCCTAAGGGACGTGGGTGGCGCTGTGGGTTAAACCACAGAGCCTAGGACTTACCGATCAGAAGGTCGCGGTTCGAATCCCCGCGACGGGGTGAGCTCCCGTTGCTCGGTCTCTGCTCCTGCCAACCTAGCAGTTCGAAAGCATACCAGTGCAAGTAGATAAATAGGTACCACTCCAGCGGGAAGGTAAACGGCGTTTCCGTGCACTGCTCTGGTTCGCCAGAAGCGGCTTAGTCATCCTGGCCACATGACCCGGAAGCTGTACGCCGGCTCCCTTGGCCAATAAAGCGAGATGAGCGCCGCAACCCCAGAGTCGGTCACGACTGGACCTAATGGTCAGGGGTCCCTTTACCTTTACCTCCCAGGTCCTAGTCTGACACTCTAACCACTATACCACACTGGCTCTCTGGCCAGCCCTGCCCTAAAACAGATCCTTGGTCTGTAATAGCTTTCAGATGTTTTCCCTCCAGATGCATTTATTCCTTTTTGAACCTTGTGCATATTCTGGCTGCTGTCCACGAAGCACCCTTAACCTCCCTCAACTCGCCCAGCTTTTCCCTCCAGTGTCCTTGTGGTTCTCTGCTGGAGCCCGACACAAATATCACTGCAGCTGCAAAGAGAAAAAGAAAATCAGAATTAGTTCCTCTATGGGAGCTGGGGCTTAATCCTATAATCAGCTGAGAATTTTTCATCCTTTGTGCTGCCATGGTGACAGTTTGAAGCTTAACCATTTTGCTGCTAATTAGCAAGCCTCATCTGGGTACCTCTCCGTAGCTTGAAAACAGGCCTGCGACTTGCAGAGAAGTCACAGGGCATTTGGTTGAGGGCTGTTTCTTGGTGCATTGTCAAAAGGGATCTCTGTTTATTGTTTTTGCACCAGCGTTTCTAAGCAAAAAAGTAAATGCATTTTTAAAAATACAGTCATACCTCGGGTTACAGACGCTTCAGGTTGTGTTTTTTCAGGTTGCAGACCGCCAAAACCTGGAAGTACCGGAATGGGTTACTTCCGGGTTTTGGCGCTCTTGCACGCGCAGAAGTGCTGAATCACGCTTTGCACATGCGCAGAAGCGCCAAATCACAACTCACACGTGTGCAGACACGCAGATGCGGGTTGCGAATGCTGTGGGTTGTGAACGTGCATCCTGTATGGATCACGTTCACAACCTGAGCGTCCACTGTATACTGAATTGTTTTGAGTTGGGGAGAGGGTAGTAAAGGTTAATGGACCTCTGACCATTGGGTCCAGTCATGACCGACTCTGGGGTTGCGGCGCTCATCTCGCTTTATTGGCTGAGGGAGCCGGCGTACAGCTTCCGGGTCATGTGGCCAGCATGACTAAGCCGCTTCTGGCGAACCAGAGCAGCGCACGGAAACGCCGTTTACCTTCCCACCGGAGTGATACCTATTTATCTACTTGCACTTTGAGGAGCTTTCAAACAGCTAGGTTGGCAGGAGCAGGGACCGGGCAACGGGAGCTCACCCCGTCGCGGGGATTCGAACTGCCGACCTTCTGATTGGCAAGTCCTAGGCTCTGTGGTTTAACCCACAGCGCCACCCGCGTCCCTTACAGACTGCAGGAAGAGACCCATAATTCCTGGTTACCTTCCAGTTTCTCATTTTGGAGCTGTCCTTGGTACTGCAACCACCAGCCTTCCTTGCTGCCTCGACATCCTCCCTCTGGGAACCTAATCTTGTACTCTCTGCATCAGTGTCTCAAAGGGCCATTAACTACAACAGGTGAATGTGGTCCCTTATATGGGAGAATAAAGGGATGCAATCAGACACACCCCTGGGGCGGAGCCTAAACTTGCCCCGCCCCTGCTGATGCCACCCATTGAGAACCCAGCCTGCTCTGTCTGTTTGCATAGCCCCGCCCCTCTCCCTGTGCTGCTCCACCCGGGCTCTGGTTTTTGGTCACACTGGGATGTGAAAGTGCGTCGGAAGAGAAGACTGGTGACTGGCTTTGACACAGGCTAG